GTTTGCTTTGCACCAATCAATTTCTTTTATAGTGTTTTACATGTATACAGAATTAGAGATAGCAGCGCTGAAATTAATATTTTTCGAAATTTGGCACGTAAGGGGGGGGGTCGTTTTGTAACTTGATCAGTTGAAGTTTCTTTTGTTTTGTGTGTATCTTGGAAACTATTTGACTAATTGGAGTTTACTTAGCAACAATGAATTTATTTGAAAATGTTCTATTTGTTTACAAAGTATCAGATGGCAGAGCCTTAATTAATAATTTTCGGAATTTTTTACGTGAGGGGGGGGGAATTTTGTAGTATTGACTTGAGGCTCCACTTTTTTACTCGTATATCCCGGAAACTATTTGTCTGATTCCAGTTTAGTTTGAACCAATGAATTTCTCTTTAAGTGTTTTTCTGGTATACCGAATATCAGATTGCAGTGCGTAAATTAAATATTTCGAATTTTTGCAAGTAATGGTGGCACGTTTCATGCTTTGTACTAATGACCCGAAGCTCCACTTGGTCGTCTATTTCGGAAACTGTTTGTTTGATTGGAGTTTTGTTTGCAAGTTTGGATTTCTCCTAGTGTGTTCAACTTATGTTACTCTTCACTTCGACTATTAGTTTCCGAAATGCGCGTGAAACAGACTTGTGGCAAAATTTCCAAATGTGGTTGAAAATTTGGCGAAAAATAAATATGGTCGCTTGTCACTGAAATCACGTATTTGAGTACATCTGTCGACGCGAAATTCGATGCAGTAAAGTAGACTTCAATGCGGGTATTAGTTTCCGAAATATGCATGAAACAAACTGGTGACCAAATTGCCATTGTTTATTTCTGAAATCACGTATGTGGGTATTACTCTGTACGAGAAATTCAATGATGCAAACCAGATCATGAAGAACTCTGATAAGTACATATAATATTTGCCTTCATACTGATATCTTTGAGACCTACTGCAATAAAAAATAAAAGTACAGTTCTCTATAACCAGTATGTCAATCAGGCGATGCTCGCTATCAAGCAGTGGTTCCAATTTTCTGTCTTTGTTAGAAATTTCTTAAAGACAATTTCTTGACACAATCACTCCGACAACCAAACCAGCTAGTATTGACATTTTTTGAGAGATGTCACTAATTATTTTATCACACTGAGCAATTTAAAGAAAACTATTCCTGCCTAAGTATTGTGCAATAATTTTTTTGTCATTGTCTTTTATTTTAAATTTGTCCTTGTATTTCCTTGACAGGAAGGGTCTTACACAAAAACAAAAGAAAAATGTCGTCCTAAATCAAAAAATATTTCCTCTAGACCATGGAATAAGGAAAATGCTTCTAAAGCATTGACTGTAGAAATTGCTCATACAAAGGTATTGAAAAATGAAATTCTGATAATAAGGTTTCCTGATCCAGAATTAACTAAAGAGATGGTGAAAAACTTCTATCCTGGAATTGAAACGTACACTTCCAAGTTTCTAGTACTCCCAGGTATGTGCAAATTATTGCTGTTATGAACAATTTGCAGCACTTGGAAGTTGTGTTTAATGAAAATTTAAGTCCTTCCTTTAAAATAAATTTGTAGCAAGTATATTATATTTTTATATTTATAATGTTCATGCTTTATTTGCCTCTAATAGTGTTTTCCACTTTCTTTCTTTTGCATTGTACGTATTGTTTTGTTCAGCTGGAAGAAAATATTAATCCTAAGCAATTGATGCTTATACGTAAGTTTCTTTAAAAATATTGGAGAGTTTTATTATGCTGGAGTGCGTACAAATATTTTGTTCCGACTTTGATGATTTCATTAAGTGCCTACATAATTTGAAATTGTCAATTCACGTATTTTCATGCAAAATTTCGCACAATCCGTAGGAAATGTTTCAAGAAACAGATTGGAACAGTTTTTGTGATAATGTTGTTTGAATATTATTGAAAATGCAAAATTATAAGCAGACAGTAAACTTTTACGTTTTGAGAAATTTTATCAGACATTTTCTGAAGCACTTGTACTCACATATGCAATATTGTGTACAAATTGCCAGTAATGTCAATATTAACATCATGAGAGAGATATAAAAAAAAGTACATTTATGTAAATTTTGACAAAATAAAATATTGCATCAAAATATTGTTTATGTCATTTGAAACTGTGCTTTTAGCATTATCCCTGCAAAAAGTTTTAGTATCCCCTAACCAATTTGTATTGCAATTATCACATTACAATAATAATATTTCCATAATAAAGACAATAAACACATTTTGTTAATGAACTTTGAATTATAATTTGTTAAACTATATTGGAGGGGATTTGGAAGCCAATTGTGTTGAAATGATATGATAAATACATCTTATATTCAGAGTTCACATTTTTGACATGTGTATTACAAAGATTCTTTGTAAAATTGCCATGTTGTATTTTTGTTGTGCATTGTAGGTTACATATTGGAAATTTTCCAACAAATGTTAGTGTTACAACTGTAAAAGAAAAGTTTCCTACTGCTTCTAAAATCGATGTTGGATTTGCACAAAAAATGAAATAGACAAGGTATAATTTATTTTCAAATGATAATCAATTGTTCAATAAGTTAACTAAAATTTATTTATTTATATCATTTTTCGTATTTGTATTATTTGATTATGTATTTTTTAACAAAAATTGTATTGTTTATGGTAATATTTATGTTTTAGATATGCATTTATTTGTTACATGTCAGTTGATGATGCTGTAGAGGCCTACACACTACCATGACTGAATGCTGGAATCAAGAAGTCTTATAGTAAGATTCCGAACAGTCCAATGTCCCATAGGTATGGCTGGAGAGAGGCGACAACAAAAGCCTTCCAAGGTTTGTTCTCATTTAACTTTCCACTATAACATGTTAATTTTTTATTAGAAACATGTACTTGGGGCCTAGTGCAAGTCTTTCACAGTTATTACATTTGAAGCTCATTAACTCACAAATACAATAGTGTTTACTAATTCCTAAAAAAGTACATATTAACGGTGTGAGATCTTTCAAAAAAATTACACTTGTGTAATTTTTGGAAAAAAAACAACAAAATAAATACCCCAAAATGAACTTAACATTATGTTAAAGAATGCAATAGCACTATCTGTTTGAAAAGTTTGAAGAAAAAAATTGGAGCGTTTTTTTGATAAATTGGTGTTTGAGATTACCTGAAAATGTGAAATTTTGAGCTGCTTTTCACAGAAAATGATGAGTTTTTGAGAAATTTTATTTGACATTTTTAAAGGTATGTTTGTTATTTATCATCTTTGTATGATGTACTAGGACTAACCCATAAACAAGTTGAAATCTGAATACAGATGGAAATAAGCATTTTGACCAAGAACTGATCATATTCGCAAAGCGGATGCACATAGTTTTGACAACACTGCAATGGCGCAGTGCATAGCTTGCTTCTTGGTTGAATTAGAGGTTTTTTAAGTAATAATAGCGCATAACATGCAATATTTTAATACTATGTTGCTGTTTCCTATATCTTGAGGAAGTATGTGCTGTTGTAGCTGTCTAATTATTCGAGAAAGTATGTGCTATATCTTCGTATACTCCGAAGTCTATTGTACTTTGCAAATCTTTTTTACCTTCATCAACATTGGAAATTCACACGATTGACTCTAAGCCCTTAGATATTCTTAGAGATTTATTTTACTTTATTACCTTTACATTCTTTACATATAACTTCACAAATCTCTCTTACATTTAACACAACTGGAAACTTCATTTCTTTGAAATTAGTTATAGAATTTGACTATCCATTTCAATTATTCTCTATAGGTTTTCGGTGCTCATTGTAAAACTATTGTAAACTTTTTGGACACACAGTGGAGAAAATTTTAGATTTTCTTGAAATGCATTTCTCCATATTTCTTTGTACAGTATGTCTTTCATTTTTGTTTTCTTATCCTGTCACTCTTGTAGAAATGTTTCTGTAGTGTTCTAAATATGTTTTGCAGACTGCACGAAAAGAAACTGTAAAACCAAAGAAGGAAAAATAAAAAAAAGATTCTGGGAACTCCAAAGGAGAAACAGTGAGTGCCCTGTTCCTAGGTCACTTAAATAATCTAATGAGATAATTTCTTGTTCTTTTGTTCTAATATTTGCGCAAAATAAATGTTTATTTTTATTACTATTGTTTGGTAAAGTTGTTTCTTCATATGTATGAATCCCAAGTTATTTCACCATGATCTACATTCAAAGTGTATTGCAGTTATTTAGATGAATTTTTTTTTTCTTTTTGCAGAAAGAAAAGGGAAAATTTGAAAATTACAATGACAACGACGATGATGATAATGACAATGACGATGAGGAGGATGACAACAACGATGATGATGAAGTTGATACCAATGATGTTAATGAATTAATTGTAAGCTAAATATATTAGATTGAAATTGTAGTTCATTAACAAAAAATTTGATGATTGTCATTTTTTTCATAATTCTTCTAAATGTAAAATTTCAATTAAATTGAATATGATAATTTTAATGAATATATTTGTTGCATAAAACAGAAATTTAAGACCTCTTTAATGATTTTCTTTTCCAGCTATTTCGCTGATTGTTTAACAAATAGATGCACAAATTCAGAACTTGGATTAATCTTTCCATTGAGTCAGATATGATGAAATTGTGCATTTTATGTATATATGTTAAATTTTGGAGTAATTGGCACATTTTAAGTGCTTATTACACCTCCTAGCTGTTCTTTAGTTTTCTTTCTGTGATTATGATTCGTTGGTAAACTTTTTGATTTATTATTATTATTATTATTATTATTATTATTATTATTATTATTATTATTATTATTATTATTTTCCAGGTGGAAAAAACCTTCAAAAGGCGAAGAGCGGGACCGGTTGCTCAACAGTGTGGGATTACTTCTTGCTAGACGACCTCACTAAAAACAACCACTTGTTTCTTCTTCTGACCTCAGCCTGGGACCGCTTTCGCATTACTTCAGACTGGGACCTTTCTTGATGGGTGCCTCTTCATTTGTTCCGACCTTATAGGCTATCGCTTAGACAGCCTTTTTCCTTCTTTGCCCGCAGAACGCTTTCTATCAAGTGAGAAATTGCGTTCCATGACTTCTCATTTCTTAGCATTGTGTCAACAATATTCTCTGGCGTGAGACTGCCTGTCGTTTCCTCCAGTTTATCGAGTTTTTCTTTCCGGGTTGTACACTGGAAAAAGGTGTGCTCGGCGGTGTCCAATTTATTCCCACCGTGCTTACAGTAGGGTGATTGAACCCTCCCCATGCGGTAGAGATAGTCCCTGAAGTAGTCGTGTCCTGTCAAGAACTGGGAGAGGTAGTTCACTTTCCCAAACTCCCGTTGCACCCATGGCGGCAACTTCTTAATAAGCCGGTGTGTCCACCTCCCTTTGGTCCCTCGTTCCAGCGTTCCTGCCAGTGCTCCATTGTCTCTTTCCGCTCCTCTTGTGCCGCTTTCGCTCTGCCGTCGCCTGCGCTCCTGTCATAAATTCGCTTGCGCTCCAGCGCGAGCAGGTCGATCGGTATTGCTCCGGCGATCGCAAGGATGGCGTCTACGGAGACTGTTCGGTAAGAGCATGCCACCCTCAGTGCTCTCCTACGCTGAACAGCTGTGATCCGTGTTCTGTATTTTTTCACAGTCATCGCTTCGGCCCACACTTCAGCTCCGTACAATAGCATTGACTTTATAATATTTTCATATATTTTATATGACTATCATAATGTTTTGTATATTTAGATAAGGAAATCTAGCACGTTCCCCCTGGTAATATGGCGAATTTTCATGAAACCAACTTGGCAGATGATCCAGGGCGTGTGAAAGTCATAACGAAAAGGGGATCAAAATATCCCGAGAGAGTCGTGAACACATCCAAAGCATCAACGTCTGTCATGTTTACTGCTGCAGCATATGGAACACTCTTGCCTTTGTATGTTGTTTACCGGTCTAAGCATTTGTATGCCACTTGGATGGAGTGTGCCCCGAGGGCACACGATTTAATAGATGTGAAAGTGGGTGGTTTGACTCTCAATGTTTTGATGACTGGATTACCACCATTATTTTGCCTTACTTAAAAAATTTAGAGGATCCCAAAATCTTAATCGGCGACAACCTTTCCACGCATTTATCAGTGACATCAGTAAAAGCGTGTGAAGAAAATGGCATAAGGACGATATTTTTACCAACGAACTCGTGATGTCGCATCATTCAGCCTCGTGATGTCGCATTCTTTGGTCATTAAAGGGCAGTTGGCGTAATATTTTACAGAAGTGGAAGATGGGCCCTGGTCGTTATGAGACCACTGTTCCCAAGGACAAGTTTCCAAGATTGCTGAACTCTCTTGTGATAGCACGAGCAGAAAATGCTGAGAGCAACATTAAGGCTGGATTTGAAAAATGTGGTATCATACCATTCAATCCAAATAAAGTAATAAGCAGGGTCCCTGGTGTCGAGAGTTATGAAGAACCCATAAATGCAGGGGATGTTGATCATGCCCTAATCCAGTTGCCGCAAGAGTTGGGAGGGAACGATGAAACGCCTGTGAGACAACGGCGATCTAGGATTCCTGTACGTGCTGGAAAAAGTGTTTCTTTATGTTTCCCTAAAATTGATGAAACGAATTAGATAAAGATCCTAATATTGATGAAAAAGAATCTGATGAAAATCCTGATCAAAACTCACCATTGCCTTCCAGCAATAATTCTAGACTGCAAGAGAACACAGGTGCCAGCGCAAGCAACATTACGTAATCTGAGACGTTTGTCCCGAATGAACTGCGTCCTGGTGACTTAGAAGAGGGTTGGAAAGAAAACAACTGTGTTTCTTTACCCAGATGTATATGATATATGTGAAGTGGTTCCTGTTCAAGCCGAGAGGAGAAGTAGAAACGGCGGTACTTTAATAAATTCTAGTAAGGCTCTGAAAAGTCTTTCTAGATATTTAACTCAATTCCTTTTTCACAGTAACAATATCTCATATAACACTTTTCATTATGCTTTTTAAGTTCTTGGGCTGCGAAATATCCAACGTTCTACTGTACCGAAATCAGTTGATGTGTGAGTAATATACAGCAACGAGCGTTATTGACTTCTGAATCAATATATTTTTACTCTCGTGGAATACAAACTATTTGCCTGGGAATACGAGTTACAGATTTGATATAATAATCCTGTGGTTGAAAAAACCTTATCCCCCACTCCTCTCGCATTTAATACAATGAAGTGCAAGAAAACGTACGCGAGTTATTTCCTAAACCATTAAATAAACATTTGGATTTTGCGAGAGAACCCTCTGAACTGGAGGTTCTAGGGTTCGAGTCCCGTCTGTGGCAAGATTTTTGACACTAGCTACATAGCTAGGTCGAGTTCAGCCACTGTCTGAAGGAGAATTCTAGCAACCGGCTGCTCTGATCGGTAGTTTTTCATGGTTTCTCCGATCAACGCCATGCGAATGCCGGAGCAGTATCCTAACAAACGAGCCATGGACTGCGCGCGGTCTTTCCTTCATTTTCCTTGCCTATCCTCAACTTCACTTACTCACACTACACTACCACAGATCGGAAGCGTCGAGCTTGTCGCGGCAGAAGCGGTGGCCCGCTTGTAATATATGAAAAAGCCCTGACAGCCGACTGGTAGGTCGCCATTCGTGGGGGAAGATCACTGCTTCCTACAACTATAAAAATACACTCTAGACTTAAGGGACTTTAGAAGTTGACTTGTTCGGATTCACTAATGAATCAATCAATTGATGCGAAAATTTAGAGGCACATAAATTGGCTAACCACAGAGAACATGAGGGAATACTACTTTGTTTACTACTGCACATGTACTGCCAGGTCCACATGTACGGTTCGCAACAGATCACAAGTTTGTTATGAAGAATGTTCTAAACTTTGCGTTTCACGATGTTCCCCGTAAGTATTTTCGGTGTAATGCGACAGTTGATGCCACAAAAATATTTGCACCGCGCGTCCGTGCTCAGAGTGTGCGTCTCGTCACTGAATGCCCGCGTGTATTTGTCTTGTCATTTTATGTGGTAATTTTTTTTCCACATATAATTTATTTTACTTTCTTCGTACTTCTTACTCAGCATAAAGTATGGCTGCATGGAAAAGGGAGATTTTCCAACAGAAATGCTCTTATTGCTGGGCCCTGGTAAAAATAAATAAATAAATAAATAAATAAATAAATAAATAAATAAATAAATAAATAAATAAATAAATCTTGTTCCTAACTGTAGTAAATTACTAACTTGTTGTTTAGTCAGAATCCATGTTTTGGTCATTAATACCGAAAAATGGATTGACCGCAAAACGTCGGTCTGTCTGTCAATTCATTTGATATCAAAGCTAGCTCGTAAACCTTTCAGATGTTTTTCTTACAAATTGATATTCTCTGATCGATTGAAACGAAACCGAGGCCCTGACAGTTTGAAAAGGATATTTTGATTTTTGATGGAACTTTATAGGAAGCCTCAATAACATTTTCAAAATGTTCTCAAAAACGGCTCCTAAGTTTTTGACTAAAATTTGCCCTCGGATAGCGTAAACCCGCTTAAAAGAATAGAGGAGATATATTTTTCGTTTAAAATCTTGATTTTCGAAAATTGCAAAATTTTAAAGTTTTGGGGCACTTTCATACAATTGCACTGTATTAAATATAGAATTTATTTCTTTAAAAAATATCTCACTTAAAGATAGATCATGAAATAAGGCCAATAACAATTTTCAAATATATATGATATATATGATATATATATATATATATATAATAAATATATATATATATATATATAGTTATTGCGTAATTTTGGGTAAAAGGCAATATTTAAACAATTACTTTGTCGCAAATAGCCATTTTTTGTATTTTTTCGTAAAGAAATAGGAGCTGATCCTATTTTCCGTAAATTATCTGTATTTTCGAAAAGTTACAATAAATTAACTTTGAAAAAGTGCAATATTGTTGAAAGATTTTTTTTTATTAAATGAAATCTGTACTAAAAAATCATTCTTAAAAAAGGCCGTGTGCACTTAAAAAAAATTAATAGTATGGCTTAATTTTGGGGTTTTGCAAATTGCAGATTCGAATTTCCCACTTTTCTTTTGCGAGAATCTTCCAGGAGTTATCAAGGAGTATTACAACACTAGGAACGCTGCAAAACGGCAGTTGGAAATTCTCAGAATAACTTCTCATTGTTGGCGGGGAGAATGGAACGGTGTTTCGGATAGTCGAGTATTTATTAATGCATAAGCTTACGGTTTCGCGCCTAATACGCTACGATTGGTAATGATTGTTCCAATTTACCCATTTTATTTATTTGTTGACATACCATGTTAACAGCATATTACGTTAATATGGACAGAAATTGCGGTATTGTAATTTTACGAAAACGGGAGACGAGAAAGTACGTGCTCTTGTAGCACCACTAGTTTCAGTAAAAAATGGTGCATTAAGATGAGTTGCGCATTTCTTCGCGATAGTGGACATTTGTGAAGCAATGTCACCTTTAGTAAACAGTATACAGCCTCGAGTATAGAATCTATTGTATTATACAAGAACGCGTCCCGTCACACCTCTTCACACTTCTACCGCAAATTCCTTTATATACCTGGGGGGGGGGGAAAGAAAAAACAATCAAGCCTTTTGCGGCGCTATGGGGCGTAATTTTCACGGTTCGCTGTTTCGGTGAACGCTCGTGCAAATTTTATGTTGCGCCTGGATCCCAGCGTTATTTGTGAATGGATATGTGGATGTGGCGGAGTATTTTTTTTTTTTTTTTTTTTTTTTTTTTTTTTGCAAGTATGGTCGGGGGGTGAAACTGCGCCCACACTATTCATAGATCTTTCTTTGTCGAATAGCCTTTAAATGACACGAGCTGAAGGTCTTGTCTGCAGAGCTATTAAATCACCTGCAATTCCCATTCGTTGGTTTGTAAAATGCTCTTGTGTCATTTTTATCCTTGTGTTGTCTCCACTATCTTAGATTCGCATTGCAACAAATTAGAATTGTCTGAAGATAAATATATTAATGCATTGTAATTAGCAAACATTTTTTTTTTATTCATTTATTTACTTGTAAATTATCGTAAAAATAGTTAAACACTGTATGTGACGTTTGGGGTAGAATTACGTCTGCACATTTTCTGAATTTTTGGAATCTCTACCCCTCTGTTTTACTACTTTCAAATTATGAATAAATGGTGAGTTATGAAATAATTTAATAAAATCAAAACAATATTAATTAATGTAATAATAATAATAATAATAATAATAATAATAATAATAATAATAATAATAATAATAATAATAGAAAGTACCAGAACATTATGATAATTAATTATTGTAATAGTCTCTAAAACCTGTTTTGGGGCAAATTTGTCATACACTAAATATGAAATTGAATGCCCTTTTTCTGCCAGTCTTTGAGCAAAATCTGCTAAACAATGCATTTTACTAAAACGTTTATTTCTCTAATATTGTACGAGATAATTATGAAGTATCATACATAATATATTTTTTTACGTGATAAGATTGGATTTTAAATGTGTCTTTCAACTTATTAGATTCTCATTGTCATATGTGTAGTATGCGAAGTAAAAACCGGACAATAAACAAATGTGATCATTCAATAATACGCTTAAGTTTTTTGTTTTCAAGAACTCATGATAAATTTGTCTTACAGATTTATTTCCCTCTTGCTAAAAAAGCATAAGATAGCACGTGACTTTTACATGTCGATATTGATCTGCTAAATAAATTTCGCGCCCGTCGATCGAATGTGTGTTCAAACATCGTCCTATTGGGTAGTTTCAATGGTAGTTCAATTTGTCGTGAACAGCATATAGGAGAGGAGACACCAAAGAGAATAGAAGAGCGAAATATTATCTCATTGAAACTACTATTGACCATTAGGTCCATCGGGGTCCAGTGTTGCTATTGTAGGAATGGAATGGCGGCTATTGAGGATTCAATGTCACGTCTGTTGAATCTCGCCAAAAAATTTAATTGCTTTTACTTGTCAGGTGAGTTTCAGTACAACATGTGAGAATTATGTGTGATTACAATGTAATAGCAATGACTTCGCGTTCAGGAGCAAATTCTTTATGTCCTTCGTAACTATGAATATATGAAGGTTGACATTTCACTTTATGTCACTTCGATTATTGCATGATTACCATGTAGAACTGTGCAAATGATAAAGAATTGGTATATTTAAGTCACAGATCATAAAAAATACTTCACTGTGAGAGAACAGCACGAAATGTTTCGTTAAACGTGATGTAACTGCTCACATTTCTTAAATGCGAGAGGTTTGGTGTGTAGCAATATGTGAATGTTGGATAAAATAGCTAATAGTATATTTAGCACCAAGGTCGATTTGCATTTTTACCGACTTATTCAATATTCAGAGTATTTTTATTTTTGTTGAGTAACTAATAATAGTTTTTGATTCAGGTTTGGATAGAGGAGACTGCCTTCCTTTTATTGTGGAAGGCCATCAAGTAGGGTTAATCAGACCTGAGGTAATGGTGAAATTACAGAGCTATCCAGATGTGTTCCATATACATGCAGATGCTGTTGAACTTAACCCTGCCTTCAGAGATTATAGTGAACGAACTGCTAAGGTGGATGCAGTTCTAAAAGAATGTCGTTTACAGAATGTGTTTGTGGCTTTAAAAGGTTGGAGAGATGAGGTAATAAGCATATTATTTCTAGAGTTTGTCTTTTATTGTAAGTTATTGAGTAATAAAATGTGGGCCAGGGTTTTGTTTTGGGTTATAGAATTGACAGGAAGACTGCCAGATATGCTTACGTTATGAATTCTTTGAGATATAACACATGGTAAAGTGGGCAGAGAGGATTCTCACAGTTGTGACAAAAAAACGAAGGAGCTATAAATGAATGTTAAAAATGAATGTTCTTGCAGTATTTTATTTTTATTAATGTTTAATTTATGTTATTATGTGGTGTTAGTGTGGCAGCCTCTCTGGCGAAACCGCCCCCGCTTTGCTTTTTATATGTATGTACTAAGTTACACATATTGCTCACCACCCCTCCCCACCAAAAGGTTCCCCTCATAATTCTCTCCATCCCATCCTCCGTGGATTTCCCCTCGCCGGAGCAGCGTGAACTGCCTGTTTAAACGACTTCCTTAAGTTGTACCGTATACTAGATTTCTTCCAGATCACATTGTTTTCTGTTCTGAAAATCATGTGCGCTAGCCTTCTGATCTCATATTTTTTAAATGCTTTTCCAAGAATTAATTAAAGCAATCCAAAGAGGCTGCGAAACTATTATTCTAAACTATTTCTTTTGAATAGTACAGATACAATTTTAGATGAATCTTAATTAATCTTTCAAGAATGTTCGTTACAAAATGCAGAATGCACAAATTAGGGTATGAAGATATTGAGCAATTGGTAGAGGAAACTGCTGCAAATGATCTGAGTGATTATGAGAAGAAATGGGTTTGCTTTGCAGGGAATCAGAATATCATTTGGAATGTTTTGACAGTGAAGACTATGTTCAAAGAAAGTGGAAAGTCATGGTCAAAATGATGACATGCAGAGCATAGTTGTTTATGAATGAGATTTTTGATAGAATTCCATTACATTGAAATGCAGGCACATTCACAAAGAGATAATAAACCATTGATATAATATAATTGTTTCGTTGTTTTTTTTTTACTGTGCAGTGTAGGAAATAGATAGAATTTGCACAAGATACTTATGCACTAGACAGCCATAAAAATCCAAGCCATCACTTTCATTTGACTGGTTGTTGTGTGTACAGATATTTTGTGCAAACTCTTAAGTGATGAAGAAATGGAGAGAAATATCTCTTACAAAAGTGGAGATTTTAGACAAAATAAACTATTGTCATAAATGAAGAAAGGAAGGCTGTTTTTGTTGTGCTTTGAAATAACATTTATGAAAAATACTATATTACAGAGCAATGAAATGAAATGAAATTACTTCTCCAAAAACTGGTAGGATCACAATTTTTTTTGTGTGTTCACTAGATTTCTTAAATTTTTTGTGAATTTCATGTTGACATTCTGGACAATGACAGAACCTTGAATATTGGTTGTAAGTAACTTGAAGATTACAAAGACGACAATTCAGTTGATGTTAATGAAAATCAAGAAATAAAGTTGTGGGGTGAATGTATTGTGTGATTGACCACAGAATGTTGCTTTTGAAAGATATTGATTCTCATTTTCATTTGTGCTCCTAAATGTAGCTTGGGTATATTTACTTTTTCTTGAATGGAATAGAGCTTATTTACTCCCATGTTTAACAGTTCTGAGAATTTGAATAAAATCTATTATTTTGAAAGATACTTTAAATCTAGCTTTCAATAAATTTTGAAAATTTTGTCAAAAATAGGCCCAAAGTTTTCTTGGAAGTTTTCTATTCACAGATCTAATCAACCTTGAGAAATTTTTACAAATGTTCTCTCTTTTTTCACCTTCTTGTACTCTTTCAATACGATGGATATATAAATGTTGGTCAGCGTCCTGTAAACCCATAGAGAGAGGCCAGGAAGGCCTATGGTGTGTGTGTGCGTAGGGGGTAACAGTCCACACACTTGCTATCAAAACTTATTTTGTGCATGGGTCTTCAAGAACCTACAATAAACTAAGTTGTTCCATTCTTTTTTTAATTTATTTTTTACTATTACAATTACACTTTTTCATTCCTTTCACAGGTTCAATTTCCCTTGCATTTTTATACCAAATTACTTTCTAGGACAAGTTCATGCTTTCCTATGCATTTCCAAGTTGAGAGGATGCTTGGGCCATTGAGCCCCATGATTAACTTAAAATATACTTGAGACTGTGCAGCTCATGATTACTGAAGCATTTTATGAAAATACTCTTGGGAAAATTTATATCATAATAATATTGATGGTAAACACAGATTAATTTTCTTTGTTTCAGGAAAGCACTCACTTTGTCACTTCTGTTAAGTGCAGTTTCATCTATCTTATTGATTCGTTGAATTTTACTAATTAAGCAACCATTTACACTTTCCATAACTGTACCCAATGAATCCACACATAGGACAGGACACTATTTTTAGATTGTGACCATTGAAGGCTTCCCCTCAAAACCTCATTAATGTTCCTGTTACCATTCATATTGGGCTTACTGTTCACGTGAGAAACCCAAAACTCTGTTTATCTTCCCATTTAAGTTGTAATGGATTCTTCGAGTCAACCAATACCTATTTAATTCAGGGAATTAAAGACCCCAATTCCAAAATCCACTTAACTAGTTTATCCTTTTTCTATTCATTATTTTTGGCAAAATAGATTTTACAATTTTAATAATTGACTTGGGTAAATTGCTTTTTGTTAAGTTTATATTAAAGGAAGACATCATTTTCTTCCCAAATTCCATGTACAAAAAATTAACAAATATATTAATTCCCAATACTTCATAAGTTATACTCACTGCGTTTCTTCTTTTGTATTGAAAACAGCTATGTAGTATTGAAATATTGCATTGTATGCACTAGTAACATCTCAGCCATTATGTCTAAATTGTCCAATTCATGAAAGAAGCGAGTATTGCACTGTTGCCAGAGCAGCACTGCCAAACTTATGTTCATTCGTTAGGCTAACAATATATATCTATATTATCACGCAACCTCTTATGGAATGCATTGACGCATTCTTCCCAGAATTTTAATTGTTCATAATTGAAATAATTTGCAGTTCTACTGAATGGCACAGACTTCCTCGTACTAGTTTTATTCTCTTGATTTAAAACCATTTGAACCACCCAGAAACTGGGGGGAAAATACAAAATAATGAAGGTGGTTTGATTTTAACTGAAAGTACAAATATTTCACATACAAATATACAAAAACATTTAATTCCATCTATTCTCATTCGGCATGTAGCAACTAAATTGTCAAACTCAGTATGTTAACTACTCACAACACAGCTGACATCATGCATAAGTTAAGCTTCCAGAACCGCGGGCTTTTAAGTATTTGCTATCCCTGTATTGGTTTATCATGCAACAATGTTTTTGATATCCTGGTATGTAACAAATTGTTTTCAAAATAGATACTACATGATGTTATTGTAGTATTAATTTGTGTTAAAATACTTAATTTTCAATAAAAATGAAATTTTGTGACAAAAATGTATTTCTGTATTTCCAAAGAAATACATATGTAATTATGGAATATGATAAAAATTCATCATATGTAAAGTGGTGATATTTGGTATAATATGTAGTAAACTAATTTTGAAAACAAATCTCCATGCACATTCTGACTTTTTGTCAGACCATCTTTGGCTGCTTTTAGAGTTTTATTTCTTTTTGACCATGCTATTAATGCATCCCTGAACTTGGAACTTGGAACTTGGTACTCGCAACTTTGGATGATGGCACCAGACTTGAATAATTTTCCTAAGGAGGTGATTTTTTGTTGTTGTTTCTACCTGCATGATTTCCCTCTTCATGAGTTCCCAGACATATTTTCCATCATAATCATGTCTGATAAATTTCTCAGCCTTGGTAACACAGGGACATTTTTCTCCAACAAAAATTATCGAACTGTTCTAGTATTGTCGCATGGATCCCCATCTTGCATTAAAACAAAGGATTCTTCATTTTTGAACCTTTCCTTTATTTGAGCTAGTAGTCGTGTCCCCATTACCTACTTGTTTTGATCTTGTCTCATTATGCCCTTAACCAAGTGCAGTGCCTTTGCCAATAATCACATACCAAATCATTATAGTGCCTGGATGCTTCAGTCTGTATGATACAATCTAAAAGGTACTTTTAACTAGGGTGCCTTCTCACAAATTGATGTTTATTTACTGCGTATACAATTTCGAAAGCGCATTCGTCACTAAAACAAACCAGTAATACAAATAAATGACATTAGAATTCCGTTTAGAAGACAGTTATTATTAAGGAGATGATTTTTATCGTGATATCGCCAAAATGATAAAAAAATGCTCTTAAAATGTTTGTAAAATTAAAAATATTTTAATTGCACAAGTGATTGAGGAGTTGCCTGATAATCGGGGCAAATCTCACAATGTACCTTCGTTAAATGAAGTTTCTCACGACGTGTTCATTGACAAAAAATTATCGTCATCGCCATCTCTATAAGCTCTAGATTACACACTGGGGTGACAAAAGTCGTGGGATAACAATACGCAAATATACAGTGCATTTGTAGACCTCATTTGTACTCTAGTGATTCATGTGAAAAGGTTTCTGATGTAATTATGTTCGCACGACGGTTAGTAAGACTTTGAACGCAGAAGGGTAGTTGGAGCTAGACATAAGGGACATTTCATTTCGTAAACCAGTAGGAATTCAATATTCCTAGATCTACAGTGGCGAGAGTGTGCGGAGAAAACCTGATTTCAGGAAGAACCTCTCACCACGGACAACGCAGTGGCCGACGACCTTCACATAATGGCCGAGGGCTGCGGGATTTGCGAAGAGTTGTCATTGCTAAAAGACACGCTACGTAAAGTAGCTGCAGAAATCAATGTGGAACGCAAGACGAACGTATCCGTTAGGACGATGAGGCGAAATTTCGCTTTAATGGGCTGTGGCCGCAGCTGGCCCACTCGAAGGCCTTTGCCAACAGCACGACATCGCCTGCAGCGCCTCTCCTGAGCTCGTGACCATATCGATTAGACCCTAGAAGTTTGGGAAACTGGCATGGTCAGATGAGTTCCGACTACTGATGGTAGTATTCGAGTGTGGCGCAGACCTCACGAACTGTGAGACTCAAGTTGTCAGCAAGGCACTGTGAAAACTGGTGTGGGCTGTTTTTACATGGGATTGTCCGGGTGCTCTGGTCCAATAGAACCGATCATTCCCCGGAAATTTATGTGCAGTTAGTTGGAGCCCATTGCCAGCCATTCATGGACTTCGTTCCCAAACAACGATGGAGTTCTGGACAATTCAAGCGAAAGAGTAGGTCACCCAGATCTCCCAACATGAATACCATCGAAAACTTACGGGACATAGAGAGATCATTTCGTGCACAAAATCCTGCACGAGCAACACTTTCGCAATTATGGACGGCAGCATTATGTAGAGGCAGCATGGCTCAACATTTCTGCAGGGTCTTCCAACGACTTTAGTCCATACCACATCGAGTTGCTACACTTCGCCGGGCAAAACTGACACGAAATTAGAAAGTATTCCAGTATCTACTTCGATAACTTACGGCATTGTTGGAGAGCTGAGCGTGGTGCATAGGCAAGTAGGGGCATGCCTTGGTATGGTTCGGCCTCTGTTACAAATCCGTCTGCCATAAGCTCTTGATGAGAGCTTATTGATTGATTGAAAGGATGATTGATGGAAAGTGCAGTGCAGTGCGGGTCGACAGAAAAATTGAGAGATTTCGAACTTCGTGCCTTCGTACAAATTAATCATCCTCCAGATAGTCCAGATCTGGCTTCCAGTGACTACTTTCTGTTTCGAAACATGAACAACTTAAGCGTGGGCGATGATTTCCGGACGAAGCAATAATGGGGTATCTGACAGTCAAAATGTTTAATTTTTTCTGAGGGTATTCGATCACCGGAGGCAAAATATACCAAGTGGGTTGAACTCATGAGAGAGAGAGAGAGATGCCTCAGATTAAAAGTTACGAAGTTCTAGTTCTTATACCGAGTTTAAAAAAATAATCTTTATAAGCTCCAAAGATCCCAATAAGCATGTGTTACGAAATTTCATTTCTCGTTTTTTCTTAACGCAGTTATCATTTGTGACATTTGCTCCTGCTTGGTAGGCAATCCATAATGCGGCATTTTTTACATTACGTTCTGCTGCAGTCAAATATATTTCGTAAACGAAACGAATAATATTTTACCCTTCAAACACGAAAGCAGGAAGGGTTGCCTACCTGGCAGGAGCAAATTGCACATGTGTAACTTCGGCAATTGTAATTGTGCTTTGTTTTTGTATTTTTTACAGTGCTATGAGGTTCGACCAATGTTTTCTAACAAGTCGCTTTTAAAAATGGATCGATCTGCAACTTGTAAGTTATATTTAATTATATATTGTGCATTCTTCTAAATATATTCATTTTAAATTCATTTTGTTTATTCTGTAATTATTGAAGATACGAAACTGCTGGTACTCCAAATGGCACGGACTTTCTCGTACTTGTTACTTTCGTGTAGTTGCGTAGAGGGCGTTTAGCTTTCGTGTTTTGCTCCACCCTCTTCCAAGTTGCCGTCTATCGGCGCCTAAAAACATTTGTTTTTCACACATACTCAAATTTTCGGTTCCCTATTTGTAAAATCAAAAAGGAATATTATAGAAGAGTAAAACATGATAATGTATAAACATTTCGTTAAAAATTTAGAGCTGTTTTTGAAAAAAAAAAACTGTCGATTCAGCGTTTCTAGAAACGCGTAAGTTTTAGCTAATTTTCTCAGAAAACTTTTGAAGCACTTGTGCTCACAAATGCATTGTCCAAAAAATCCCCCTAATGTACGAGATATTAAAAAATAATTTGTGTAATTATTAAAAAATAGTCAGTTATCGTTTTCTCTTTTTCGACATAAAAGTAACACACATTGTAAACTCACTTTTTCGACTTAAAAGAAAACCTGAATTCATGAGAAATCATTCTACTCATAAATGCAGTAATGTATAAAAACGTCCGTAATGTAAATATTAACGATGATCAAACTAGTGCTACTGCAACAGCCCATTATTTCGACAGAAGAAAACTTAATGCCGGTCGGACGGAGAGAGAGACGTTTTGCAGTCAATTGATTTTTCGCTATCCTGGACACATAAAACACGGATTCTGATTACACAACGCGTTAGAGGAAGTAATTTACTGTACATAGGAACAAGGTTTATTCACTTTTGGTTTCCAGAGCCCGGCAAGAAGCAGTTCTGTCGCAATTTTCCGGCGCATGGTCAAATTTCTCTCTTCTTACGAAGTAAGCGCGAGAAAGAAAAGAAAAATCACAAAAAACCGTTTCAAATTTGTTATTTTCCACGGATATAACAAAGTACGCTTAAAAGAATGGTAGATCTCATTTTCGATTAACTAAGAATTTTCGAAAAATTGCGTAAGTTAGAAATATTGATTACAAGTAATGTGATGGTGTAGCACCACTAGTTTGATATAACTCTCTAGTCATTAATATTTACATTATGGGCGTTTTTATAATTTCTGCATTTAATCTGCTACTAATGATTTGAACTTTTCGAAATTTGCCAGAATAGAAAGAATGTGACACTAGCGGTGTTAAAATAACACATACTTTCTCGCCCCCGTTAGTAACTGTTATATAGTATAATTATATTAATGATATATTATATCGTATTTCCGTCTTTATCAACACATCTCAGTCAATGAGCGCTGCCAATAAAGCGCGCATGCAGCGATGAGCGCTGCCAACAACAGACACATATTTTCTTATCAATTCTTGCTAAAAGGGCCATTTTTCCTAAATGGAACTGTTTTTCAAATTGCATTCTTGTGGTTTTATGAAAGTTCTTCTAAGGCGTTCTTTATGCAATCAATTGCTTGTTTCGAATACATACAATTATTTTTCGCTATGTTCCCAAGATATTGAGCGATTTTATAAGAATGGATCTTTTTGACAGCTTGTGCTGGCAACATAACTGAAGGTTCTGTGGTCGTTATGTTCTTCAGCCCATTTGACTCTCCTTCCTTCCTTCCTTCATTCGTTCGTTTGCAGTTGGCTAACTTGTAAATGGCTTCGACGCTTCCTTTTGTGGTGTCCTCGCCAAATGAAAATGTAGTTCGCCACGGGAAATAATTGAAAGTAGGAAGTGCAGTGCTACTGTGCTCTCTGTAAAAATTCTTTATTTTATAAGCATTACAATTAATTTACTTTCTGTGAGATAAGGATTATGTCTATTTGAAAGCCGAATCTTGAATGTTGCACTAGTTTCCTGGTCTTATGCGGTTAAGTGGCGAGCTGTAATCGAGAACGTTCAATGGTCTGCGTTTTATCAATTTTGTTTATATAATTACACGGTTGTGAACAGAAGAGAAACGATGTCTTAACGGGAGCCATATGCAAACATAGACATTTTTTTCAATTTTTGTTCAGACAGGGCTCGCAGAAATGCTATCAGCCCTGCTTTTTTACTGCTTTTCACATGCGTGGAAAATTTTTAAGTAAAAAGGAGCCGTTTGTGAGAAAATAATTGTTTAAAAATTGTCCATATCCATAAAATTCTCATATTTTCAAAGAAATTTTATGTGAACTTATTTCAAATTATCTTTAAACAACAGATTTTATTACGGAAAACATTCCTTATCTTTAATATTAAAGTTGTAGGCGGACGTCGAAAAAATGTCGAACTTTTGGCAAATGTCGAATATTCACAGATTTCCACGAAAATTAGTCTTGCGCCGTTTGTTAAACGTGTTTTCGCCATCGGTGAATAAAGTTTATCTACAATTTTTTTAGCCATTTTAGGCAAATTAGGAATTGTTGAGATTTCACGTAAAGTATCCCCAAAATCAAAATATCGTTTTCAAAACGCAGGTCTTCTAGTTCCTTTAGATCTAACAGGGAGTGTGAATTTTGGATTACCTAACACTTCTAAAACAGGGATCGACCACCTTTTTACTTTCTCACTATGGAGTAGAGAGAGTTATGTATTGCTGCGCGAAAAAACGAATTTTCGGCAGATAAAACTCTTATAAAGGACTCTGGTAACCGAAAGGTGGATAAATCCCTTTGCTAAATTTAGAAAAATACCCACAAAACATGGATTGTAGGCACACCATATGTTAGAATATTTTCTTGTAAATTTAGCAACTGGATTTATCCACTTTTTCACTGCCAAGCTCTTGGATTATAAGTTTTTCTGTCGAAAATTCGCCGTCTTTTTGCGCAGCATCACATAACTTTCTCTCTACCGTTGAAGTGATAGTGAGAAAGTAAAAATGTAATAAAGATAAATATCGTGGTGAATGAAACTTTTGGGTGTGACTTATATCCTTGATATTGCTGAACCACAAAATAACTAATAATTATTAAAGGGTTGGCAAAGTAAAAATATCCATTATCCTTTCAGAAGAGAGATAAAGAACACAAAACGTAGCGCATTCGCTTTTCTAGATACCCTTTGTCAAAAAAGTAGCATTAAGAAAATGAAAATAAGTAATGATTGAAAATACAGTTATAGGAATATTTAAAAACAACAAAGCAATAAAGAATAATATTATAGTAACGTATCGTGCACACTAAGAAAGGATATATTAAAGTAACAAAATGTAAAGAAATTAAGAAAAAAAGAGTGGTGCTGCCAGTTCACATACTTTCTCGCGTTGTTTCTAAAGTCTCCGCAACATTACGCTACCCCATAATCAGCAGAAGTGTTATGAAGAAGCTAATTATTTTACCGTTCCGAGACTCGAACTCAGATCCTCAGAGCTAACGCGCTGGCACTCATACCAAAGTGCCACCAAAGCCGAACTCGGACAAAGGTATAAAAAGGTAAATACCCAATTCATGTAAGGAAAATTTCAACTATCAAAATATCTGTCAGAATCACCCGAAGCCTCCAGTCAATTTGTGGGTAGAAATTCTTCAAATCATTTTCAATAAAAATGTTTTTTGTAGCAAAGTAACAGTATTTACACTCGTTAAAATATTTCGCTTGTATGCTAAAAACTCAAAATTTCTTTCTTTTCGTGTAAGTCGAGTTGGGTATGTATGTATTGTTTTGATTTTCAGGTCTCTTTGGCATTCGAAATTACGGTGTAGATATAAATGGATATGTAATGGATCCTGTAAAAGGAATGTGTATCTGGTTGCAACGAAGATCAGCCACTAAACAGACTTGGCCTGGCAAATGGGACAATATGGTATGATCATTTACTTTATATTTTAGAATGGTTGTTGTATTATTTGTGTTAAATGCTACATTTAGATTATTTAACGATTCTAATATAAACAAGTCGAACCGGATAGCCGAGATCGCTAAGGCAGTAGTGTCGTGGCAATCTCGGATCGCGGGTTCGAATCCCGCCCTCGGTCATGGATTTGTGATCAAGAAGGTAAAAAATAAAACTCTTAAGTAGTCCTGCAATGTTATTTGAAAACATTTAATTTTGCGATTGTTTTTAGACTACATATTTTTGCTTCAAACTATACGAATATCGTGTAGATTAATTATATAGTATTGCCTTAGATTGAAAATCTTCATGCTTTAAGTATTAATTGTAGAGTAGAACCACTTTTGGTAAAAGGACACACTGTTAATGCATTTCTTCATTTCGGTGTGTAGAGAAACTGGATCTCCCAAGAATCTTGTTTAGGTGTATAATTTTCTGTTGTATGATTTGTGAATGTGGGAAAGGATTCGTGGAACGGTTAAATTTCCAAATTGAGTTTTTAGATTTAGAAGAAAACCAGACTGTAACATTGCTTCGGACAAACAATAACCCATCCTTGTTTTGTTTGAAATGTGGATTTTAACTGAAGTTATCATCTGTCCAAGTTTTGTGCATCGCTTCGGTTATTAATTTTTGGAAATCTTTTGATGAAATCCTTCTGTTCTCTTCACATATTTGAATTTGTATTCTAACGTCGTGTGTAGTGATCTACACCACAAGGAAACGGACACGAGTGAGTATATACAAGTTTTATTTACACACTGTACATATTTACAACTCTCACTCTAAGGCGGTTTGCCAGAGCTACCACTGCAGCCCTCCTCTCCCTACATGCGCCTTGCGGCGACGCCTACGACCAGCCGGCAAGGCCGCGTCGTAGATTGGCACCAACGTTTCCCCTCGCGCCGTCTCGCCACGGCGTCTTTATAGGTCCAGGTCACCTGACCTCCTACGTCACTACTCCCCATCCCCGCGCGGTGGAAAGCCTTTCCCTGGCGCTGCCTGGCCCGCGGACCATTTCCTGTCGGAAAGTCCCTTCTGTGTTCTATCTTTAGATCCCCCAGCCCTCTACCTTGCACTCGGCTGCTGCCAAGCCGTGACGCTACAGTATCAAGAACACTACAAATTAAGCAAGTATTTGCGTACCAATGGGACTCTCACCTGAAGAACCCCCTTTCCCTTCCCACTGTCTCTCCAATGAAACACGGAGGGAAAAGAGGTTAGTAAACGGCCACGTACGCGAACGTATACTATACACTTCTTGCAAAGGACACTCAGTATGACCTTCTTGCAAAGTGTTTACGAACATAATAAATGGCCCAAACGATCTCATTTAATGTGCACGTATAAAATATGCGTGAAGTATGCATAGCTTCGGACATCCTGTTTAAAAACGCACCGTTAACGCACCTTACTTTCGACTTATGGGTAATTGATAGGTGAGGACAGAAACCGTTGTGTGCGACGCTAACAAACAAAATGTAGTAAGTGCAATTGCGGCGTATCTGATCCTTAAAATACAAAGAGAAAGTGAAATACGTCACCATTTTGAGAATGTCTCTCTTTTGCCTCTTTAAATTGTTAAGCTTTGACATGGTGTTTGAGCTATAGAAGGGTTACATTACAGAAATAATATTGAGACCCTCCAACTTATTAAGATTAGCATTTTCACTTTCTTGCATTCTAAGTAGCGTAGATAAAGTTACGTAATGGTGCCGCAAAAAACAACAATTATTCTACAATAAAATGTGTATGGTGATCCCTGATACCTAAAACGTGGATAATTCATGTTCCGATTTGTACTAAATTACAGCTTACTCGTTCCGTAGTTAGAACCCACTTTTTGCTGTCCTTATTAGCGAAAAAGTACACAAAGAAGAAGAATACTACTATAAAGAACTACTAGTCCTGCACAAAATGCCACATACTTTCTCGTACTAGTTAGTTTACTAATTTTGTCTGTCCAACAGTCTGTTCCTCGAACTGTCCGTCTGTCTGTTCCTTCGCCTGTCCGACCGTCATGTCAGTCGGTCCGACCGTCTTGTCAGTCGGTCCGACCGAATACAACAGAAAAGTCTACAAGTGTCTTATCATTTACGACTTATACCCCTAAAATTATCTTATGACGAAAAACGTTCATGTCTATTCTTAGTATCCTTTCATTAATATTCTCTATCTGTTTAATGAATTTTGTCCATTTACATTTAATAAGGAAAGAGACTCCACTTCTAGCTCTAAAATCTATGGGTACACCACTCCAAATATGAAGATATTCATTCGAAATTTCTTCCCCTGTCCCTTTTTTCTTCATTTCCGTAAGTATAACTATGTCCAGGTTCATTTATTCAATTTCTGAGATGACCTCCCTCTGCTTTGTTCGTAGGCCTTGTATATACCTTGTTCCAATTTTCATTGTCCGTTTTCCTAGCCTTTGTCGTAAATTTAATTTTGGTCTGAGGCATATTTAAATCGCTTTGAACTGAAGTTTTTTTATGGAGCCAGGATGTTAGCACTGTGTTCAACTCCCATGTTTAATCCTGGAGGTATATGTTTTTTTTTATTTTTTTGTTTTTTTTTGGGGGGGGGGGTTGCTATCCCTTAGGAAGGTTGGTTCCACTACACCTACGGAGGTCCCCCTCCCCCCTTGGTTTTCTGTCAGGGTTTCCTTCCCTTAGCTCATGGTTTCCGTTTTAAGGTGCCGGAAACTCACCTTTCATCCCACCCTTTTCTTTACTCTGTAGGTTCTCACCACGCGGAGCATCCAGGACCACCACGAGGAGGTTTGGGAAGGGACTTAATGACTCAGCCTTTTTACAAAGGTTCTCCATTACAGGAGGGCTTTTCCTGGTATTTAATGGTGTATACCTATTAGCCTCAGTATACCCCACCAGGGCCCAAGTCACCCATTAGGACCCCATAAAATGTTTAATCATATTTATTTCATTGAAGCTGTGTCTTTTTCTGTGTTAAATTCTTCTAACATTTAGAAAAATTGAATTACTCAAATTGTAAAATTATTATAAAAATTAATGCATGAAATACAAATATGTTCTTGAGTTCATTTTTGCATGTGTGTGTGCTAATGATTAATTTAGTTAATTAATATTGATTTAATTTGTTCCATAAATGCAGAATTGTCATTAATTTTAATGTCGGAAAATATATTTGAAAATTAAAAGTTCTCATTTATGATAGTTTCTAGTTGTTTGAAAACCATGGTGATACTATATCAGAACAATAATTTTTGAGTAATGACATAATTGCTTTTATTAAATTATGCTGTGATGTATTTCTTCTCCATAAGCACCCAAAAAAAAAAAAAGTTCACAGTATTAATTTTCTTTTTAAGGTTGGTGGAGGATTGTCTGTGGGTTATGGTATCCTTGAAACTGCTATTAAAGAAGCAGAAGAAGAAGCCTCTATTCCCATTGAATTAATGCGTAACTTACGACCTGCTGGCTGTGTTTCGTAAGTGTTAATGTTGTTGTTGGTTTGTATCAAGTTATGGATGTGCCATGTAGGTTAAAAAATATTCTTACATGTAATTTAATAATTTTAATAGAAAATTAATATTTTTCAATATAGTTTTCTTAATTTATTGGAAGGTTTGTCTTGAAGTAGTGTTTATTGAAAAGCTTCTAATTTGTTTAAATTATGAGAAGGAAAAACAGAATATTGCTATTTATCTTTTGCTATGACATTTGTGAATTTACTCTGTAACATTATCTACTTTTTAACTTCATGCTGTTGTATTAGTATGTCATATTTTCTCAGTTGATGAAGTATTTGTGTATTCAACCTAATTTGCTTTAACAGTTCATTTGACAAGTGCAAAGTAATATTTTTATTCATATAAATATTTCTTTGGAACTTGAGTAAGAAAAACTAAGGTTCATTATTTATAACTCATTCTTTGTCCATGATGTGGACATATTTATTTGTTCATGTTACAGTCTCTTTTATGGCAAAGTGCCCTTTTCACACATTTATTTTTTGACTGTTCCAAAATGCAAGAAAATTTACAGAAATGTGTGGAAATTATTATTGTAAAATTTTGTAGAGAAGAAGAGAGAGAATTGAACAATTCCTTGATAAAGCAAGTTTAAGATTTCTTGGAACTATGGTTCTTTCACAGGACAGGACTTTGATAATTAGTGCTTACAATTGATGGTTTCTGAAAAATATTTACTAGTTTTGGTTCATAGAGTAGGAGCATTCACTTGCAAACTCGAGTTCCAAACAAATTCAATTAATTATAGAAGGATCAGTGCTAGAACAATAGGAACAGTAGTGACTAGAGTTCAGAACATTTTTGTAGTTTTCTTGGGCCACTTCATTATGTGAAACTCAATGGGTGATTAGGATATCTCTTTCTGAATAGATCGCAACCCTGAAAACAGCCAATAACTAGTTTATTATATTTTTACATTTATTTTCAAACCCTGGTTTTGTACCTGTAATCATCACTTGAAAATTGCAAAGAATTTTGTAATTGTCAGATTTACAACTCAGTAACTTTCATTTGATATTCTATCGCATCTCGACCAAGTTTTTGTTCAGTTTCCCTGATACATTGAGCAAATGCTGAGATGCCCCTTGTTTTGCGTAACGTAAATGTAGTTTTACTATGCGCCCATTTTGTTGAATTTTCCTTTTGCTTGTAATGGTAGGAGTAAAGGTAAGGGTGAGTTACTATTTTGTTAGCAATGCAGAAAAATCAAAATCTGCAGTTTGTTTATTGTTGCAAATAAGTTTTCTAACTCAGGAACGAAAATGTCTTTTCATTGAAAAGTTGTGTAAGTTTGAAGTAAGTGGGAAGTTCCCAACTTTTTGTTTTTCAAATGTTCACATACGCGCAGTCGCACACACACACACACACGCGCGCGCAGTCGCACGCACACACACGCGCGCGCAGTCGCACGCACACACACGCGCGCGGGCAGTGCACAGCACACACACACCGGCGCAGTCGCACGCACATAGCACACCGGCGCGCAGTCGCGGACACACGCGCGGGCGGGATCGCGCAACGACGAACGCGCGGCGGGCAGTCGCGCACGACACACGGCGCGCGCGCAGTCGCAGCACACACACAGTAGTACACACTGCGCGCGCAGCAGGTCGCGCACATACAACCGCGCAGCGCAAGTCGCACACACACGCGCGTCGCGTACACAAACACACCACGCGGCGCGCGAGTCGCACACACGCGCGCGCGTGCGCAGCGTGCACACACACCCGCGGCGCGCCCGCGCGCCAGTCGACACACACCACACACGCGCGGGCGCGCAGTCGCACACACACAACACACACACCACACGAGGCGCGGCGCGCGGCGGCTAGTCTGCACACACAAACGCGCGCGCGGCAGTCGCAACACAATACCTAGCGGCGACGCGAGCTGCAACACATCCCGCGCGCGCGCAGTCGCACACCACATGAGACTGCGCGGCGCAGTGCACAACCACACGCGGGCGCGCGTCCGGCACTACACTGCCGGGCTCAGTCGCCGAAAGGATAGTAAAGGAGGGACACACACGCGCGCCGCATTGCACACGGCACACGCGGCAGTCGCGGCACGCAGCACGCGCAGTCGCGCGCCACACACCCGCGCGGCAGTCGCGCTCCACTAACGTGCGCAGTCGCGCACACCGGCGCAGATCGGCGGCGCGCACGGGACTTCGTTGACGACAGACAGCGCGCAGTCGCACACACACGCGGCAGTCGCACACACCGGTGCACTAGCTACACACATACGTCAGGTCAGAGCTTCTCCCATCTGGGGCAAGTGCCACTTTGGCAGAAATAACCATGAAGAACCTACTGGCACCGTGCCTGCACGTCAGTCGGGGATTCTCGTGCTTTAGCGAAAATGTACATCGCACCTCCTAAATATAACTTTATTCATTATCTGAATAAATTAAACAATTGTTCATGTCCTAATT